TAATTTACAGAGCTCATAGATTTTCTTGTGTAAACTCATCCGCTTGTGAAGATGCATTTTGTCCTGTCTACTTAAAAGTAGTTGGTTGCTTCATGCGCTTGAATCCTCCGATGGGTTTGAATAGAGCATGGAGGACCAGGTTCGACGAAAAAATGATATCATTTAAATTCTAGAACACTTTTTTGCTTCCGATAGCCTGAAATTACAATGGTTATAAATGCTTAGGGTTATTTTTAGTCGGAAAATTAAAATTGCTGTGTTGTGCAACAAGTTGTTCATAACCGATGAAGCATGTATGAGAGTCGTACAAACGGGAGAGAAATCTGAGAGAAGAACGGAAAATACCATCTTACAGGTTGTGCAGCGCCTGAAGAAATGATATTTGTATGATTGCGATCGACCCAGTGAGCCAAACTCAGTAGGTGAGTGGAAAGAGAAATGCGTCGTTAGGGACTGAGGCCCGATGAGTTTACAGCTATCGTAGAATTGAGAGGCTGGCTACACTCCGTGCATAGATCCATTTGAAGGCAATTTAAAGCGATCGCCCCCATGAAGCGTAGTAATCCAGGGATGGGCAGGATATTAATTCGATTTAGAATAGCTCAGTGAGCACGTAGTGTTGCACGCTGGCACCAGTTTTACTGCAGTGAAGCTTCTCTTTAGTACTGTTTTCATTCTAGTGTCTACTCTCCCGGTTTTTTCTATCTCTCTTGGACGGAAGACGAATATAAGTTTTCTTAGTTCAAAAGTCGAATGCTTATCTCCTTCCATCTACTCTTTACCGTGCTTCATAACAATTCTATAGCCACTCCACTCAAATGCAGGCTTTAAAGTGGGTCCGACCTACCGATTATGTTATAAGTGAGCAGCTAGACCATTACGGACCCTATTGAGATGTGTGAACTACTCATCAAAACCTGTTTTTCCTTTACTGGTTGCAATCGCAACCATGAAACACTCGGCGCAACTGATGCACAGGGAGTCGTGGAAGTTGCGTTTGACCTAAGTAATGTTTGCAATGCATTGAAGTCCCTGAAGCCCATTTTGTTGGGGGAGGGGGAATATGGCATTTTCGTAAAAAATGATAGCTCAGACTTCTGCATCTTGCCCGAGAAAGCCTTCGGTCTGTCACTAAATTCTGAGTGTTTCATGTGATCTGTTCATGCAGCAAAAGAGTTACATGAAACATGGGTAAGCAGGAATGAAGCGGCGGACAACAACATTTTATTAGGTGAGAGTTCACTCCAGCCCCGTAAGTATATTAACTAACGTTGGGAATCACCACGAAGGTACGGTGGGGCTTCTGTTTTTAAATGGAGGATGGTAACGCTATAGGACTCCATCTACTGCTTAGGGATCTCGGGATGACCTCGCTTCTTTGAAGGTTATATATGTGTCAAAACGATAAAATGTTCATGAGACTGACACTAAACTTCTATTGGTTAGAGCAATGCGTCGGAATCTGCAGATGGGATAAGACAATATTGGATGGTAATTACAAGTCCTTTTTGACTGATTATCATTAGTACAATCAGCCTGATGTAAGTGGATCATAAGGTAAAGGCTTTTCAGTTTACCGATGCTCGGCTGTGCGAAAAATACATTAGCACGTTGGCTGAGCTTCCTATTGTTTAATGAGCCCAGAACTGTGGTGTCCAACTATTCCCGTACCATTTCACGTTGGAGATCGACAATCTCGCATTGATTGCTGAATTCTGACCAGATGCGTGGATTTTCTACCTCCAGAGTCAAAGTATATGGAATTTGTTGACATCTGTCAAGTTGATGGTTGGTATGTTTAACCGCGCAGGCAACTGTTTTTGGCCTGAATCTCTCTTTAGTTTCCGGGTGCTAGACTGCTAGTAGAAATGCACAGCATTTGAGACCATCGGTCAGACTGGAAGCTACAATATTTTCTTTGGTTTTGCCAGGTTTTTGGAGTACATGGGAAGGAAGATGAAGTAGCTTGAGTTTTTGGAGGGTACGAATTCGGAATTAGAATCGCATGCGTGATTTAATGCAAAACTGATGAACTTTTCCCGTTATCAGTGTTGAAGCAAGTTGTTCTGATGTAAGTCTGGGCCAAAATTTCGAGCGAAGTCGACAACCGCTTTCAAACCATGACTGTTGATGAAACGCATGGTTTCTGCCGTTATCACAGCTTGTACTAATGAAGGGTTGATTAATTATCGTGTCAATAAAAATAATACGCGTCTCACGTAACCCTATGCACATAAATAAATACTGGTTTTGCAGTCATGTTCTATTTGGTGCTTCGGAGTTGTATGCACTGCAGTGCAGATTGCTTCGGTTTGTTGTCAACGTTATCCTTTGAAACCTGCAGCTATTAGCCTGGGAGAGGAGTAAATGCTTGTTCTTTCATTTCCACTTGAATAACTGACACGATTCAACCTTCAGGCCACTTTTAGATGTCTTGCCCCTCTAGTGAGCGCCTTTCTATTAATATCACTACTAATTCAATCTCCATGACCCCTACAATTGGCTTCCCTCTCAACTGATTCTGTTTAACCTTACACTACTCGTGATTAATCAACAGTAGTATTTTTTCAAGTGTTTGCAAGAACTGGCGAGGAATCACTCTCCTGCCCACCCAGCGCAAGCCAAATATTAAGCCGCATCATCCTAGAGAGGCTTAAGGATGCACTGGACTCAAAACTGCGACCGGAACAGGCAGGCTTCAGGAAGCACAAATCATGTGCGGATCAAATTGCAACGCTACACTACGCATCATCATAGAACAGAGCATAGAATGGCAATCAGCTCTCTACCTCAACTTCATCGACTTTGAGAAGGCCTTTGACAGCGTCGACCGAGAAGTAATTTGGAAACTGTTTCATTACTACGGAGTACCGCAAACCTTTATCCGCGTCATTCAACAACTATATGAAGACGCTACATGCCAAGTAATTCACAATGGGAAGCTCAGTGATGATTTTGAAGTGAAGACAGGAGTGAAACAAGGTTGCCTACTATCACCCATGATATTCCTGATTGTGGTCGACTGGATCATGCAGCAAACAGTGGGGAGCGAGAAGAGAGGTATACACTGGCTGGACTGCGGAAAAGAACCTAGAAGATTTGGATTTCGCCGACGACTTGTGTCTGATGTCACATAAACTTGAAGATCTGCAGGCAAAAACTAACAAGTTGATAGAAGAGGCAGCTAAGACAGGACTTCAAGTGAATATAGAGAAGACAGAGGTGATGAAGATACCGCACCACCACCATCAACAACAACAACAAACTCCAATCACCGTCAATGGGAGAAGCTTAAAGGAAGTAACCTCCTTCACTTATCTAGGAAGCACTGTTTCAACTACAGGCGGCACAGACGAAGACGTCAAAGTCAGAATCGGAAAAGCAAGACAGGCGTTCATTAGCCTGAAACCAGTGTGGAGATCTTCTGCACTCAGCATGAAGAACAAGATCCGGATTTTCAACACCAACGTCAATTCAGTGCTTCTGTATGGTCAGAGACTTGGCATGTTACGAAGGGATTTCCAATAAACTACAGACATTCATCAACAACTGCTTACGCTCGCTACTGAAGATCAGATGGATTGCCGAATAATAAGAATAAGCAACAAGGAGTTCTGGGAACGAACCAACCAAGAACCTATCACGCAACAAATATGCAGGAGGAAGTGGAGATGGATTGGCCATGCACTGAGAAGGCCGACTGGGGACATCACGTGTCAGGCCTTCGAGTGGAACACCGATGGGAAGCGACGAGTTGGACGTCCGTGGTGAGGGTGACATGGAGGAGATCGTGCGAGGAGGGAATGCGAGCAGCTGGGCTGTCGTGAACCAGGTTCAAAGGATCTTAAAGAACAGAGTTCACTGGAGGCGTGCTACTGAAGCCCTATGTTCCACTAGGAACCCAAGGGACTAATAATAATAATAATAAAAGTGTTTTTTTCAGGTATTGTTAGCGCGTAGATGCCAGCAAGTCATTGTCCTTCATGTTGAACTATTTTTAGGTGATAAAAGCATAATGACTTAAACCCCCTCACATCAGTTCTTCTTACCCCAAATTTGCGCCAATTTTCACCTGTCCTACGTTGTACCCCATCTTTCTCTACTTGACTACTTCACACTCCAAACTTCGTGTTGTAGAATTCGTGAACGGCGGTTTCCTTGGGTTCTACATCTTTACTACGGGAACACATTCTGAGTTTGGAATGGTCGGGTTCAGAAAACCTGAAAGGATGGAGATACGACTGTTAATTAATCTGGTCGCAAGGTAGTATTAATGCATCTGGTCTGAGGAAAGCTTCCCGAGTACACCCCAACGGAGCCGTACGACTCGGGGTGTGCGTCTAACCTCGTTTTAAAAATACCAGAGGATGGGGCTGTAACAACTGCCGAAGGGAGGGAGTTCCAAAGTTTACGGACTCTAACCGCGAATGAGTTAGCACGGATCTTTTTACTTGCTCTATCATGCTCTGTTCTAAACTGGTGACCTTCACGCCGCGTTTCCGATTAAGACCTAGAAGGATGGAGGGGATTATAGGCGACGTGGTACATCATGACCATATCCTTTTTGATCCATCGGTACTGCACTAGGTGCAGTTGAAGAGCAACTAAGCGGTCTGGACACGGTTTTTGCCGTAACCCAATCACTCTCTTTGTCCTTCTTTGTACCCGCTCTAGATGTCTATGTCGTTTTTCGAGTAGGGGACATCCAAAGCGAATTGTTTCTGGAGGTCGAATGTACAGAGCATACACGGTGGTGAAAAGAGAAGGAGAGAGACCCCCTAAAGTTCCTTAGAGAAACCCCAGGATTCCATAAGCCCTGTTGGATGCAAGGTGACAGTGGACCGACCCTTTTCATTTCCTGTCAAACACCAACTGCTAGTTGAAAGTATAGCATTGAAAAAAATAATTCTATCTAACACAACGAAGAGTCAACTGTTTATTTCTATGCATGGATTTGATGGTTTGAACATTGTACAGCGCGCCTACTTAAGATGTTCCTTGCCTTTGAGCTTTATAGCGCGGAATTCGGCTTTCTGCACTATGTCATTTCACAAATTATGGAGGAAAGCGCAGGATAATCCTACAGAGTTTTCTGTTTGGATAAGTTTGTTAGATCTTGTTGAAAAACAGGTAACGCACGTTTTCGTAATCTCCTACTCTGCAGCAAAATATTGAGTACGCCAGACAAGCTTTCGACGCGTTTTTCAAGCGTTTCCCATATTGTTATGGATACTGGAAGAAATTCGCTGATATGGAACGGCACAAGGGGAACAAAGAAAGATGTCTTCAGGTAAGTATTTTCTCCGTGATCGTTGTTTCCACGGTTAAAGCTAGCCTTCATTGTTTTCATGATTTGAAATCCTTTTATGACGAAATCTGGACTTAAATTTAAGTCTGGTAACCTGTTGGTTTCAATGTTAACTTCAAGCACCGCGGTGCTATTCAAATATTTACTTACCCTAGCTACTCTTAAATCAATGAACACTTGGTTTAAATAGCGTTAGGATTATCTATAGTTTTAACCCACTGCTGTGAAAGTACTAGATGGCTCCATTGGTGTTCACTGTGGAGTATGGTAAGACATATCTTTGTTGATGAAAAAGAGGAAATTTAAGTCTATAGAGGGCTATTCGTTATCTTGAAGGTTATCTTCTTATTCCTATAGGTATTGTACTTGAGTAATTTTGGTCATGTGATGGAATTAGTGTTAAACTGTGGCAGTGATAAGCCAGAATACCTTTAATTCCGTAACCTGTTTGATTTCATCATAGCATCAAACTAGTTTAAGGCTTGCTTTTTTCGATTACTTGCAGGTTCAATGAAGTGAAAGCAAGTCAACTGGGTCATAGGTACTTTCCTCAGGAAATGGAGATGAATCAAAGTAGGGATAAACAAACTTAAGAAAGCAAACAGGTTAAAGACTAGGGCCATACCAAAAATGACCACTTCTAAACTTCCTAATCTTCATTCGTGTGAGTCCGACTTGTTGGTCTAGGCTTTCAGACTTCAACCAGTGGATCGTATTTAAACCTGTCAAGGTTTGGCTGTGGGGGGAATTCCCGTTTTAGTTGATTTATCAGGTGTCACACATTGTAACAGTATTACCTACTGAACTACGTTTCGGAGACAATTTATTGTCCATAGTCATATGAAGATGGTATGGCCCAAGTGCTCAAGTCCTACTCATACATCATCATCATCATCATTATCAACATAGGACCAGGCATTCCTGCGTAACGGTCCGAGTTGCCACACCTCATATCAGCACATCAAGTAAAAAGGTAGTGAGGTGAAGGATGAAGATAAGTGAATGCAGTCAAAAGAAATATAAAGTACGAGAAGAAAGGAAAGAGGAGTGACAAAATAGTGAGATTCGGTATAGCGTTGTTAAGATGAGGATAATGTGTGTATACATCTGCACCACTGACTTCGGTTCTGAGCCATATCACCTAGGGTCTCCAACCACTGGTTCCTCTTGTCCCGTGGACCCCAACCACCTAGTCTGCATCGTCCTACATGGCTTAAACCAATAGTCAGAGACTTCATACATTGGTGCCATGTTTTAGTCTGGCCACCTCGGGCCTTTTTCCAGCCTGGACCCACCTCAGCCAACATTGTGTGATGGGCAATCGGTGACTAGGCATACGTAGTACGTGTCCTAACCATCTCAGTCGATGAAGGTTCACAACCTCGTCGACTGACTTACCTCTTCTCCCCAAAACTCTACACCTAACTTCTGCATTACTCACATGGTGACACGACGGAATACGTCCTATATTACGAAGGCAACGGTGGTCAAACACCTGAAGCCTTTTTGTATCCTCCACTTTCAATGGCCATGTTTCACAGCCATATAGTAGAACAGATGGGACTGCTGTGCAGTACACGCGACCCTTAGTAGACGAACGAATATCACGGCGGCGCCATAGGTGGCGCAAATTGGCAAAAGCCAATCGAGCCTTTTGTATCCGTGCCGAAATCTCATCGGCAACTAACCCACCGGGGTTGATCCTACTTCCCAGGTAAGTGAAGTGGTCAACACACTCAACCACTTCACTCTCTATTGTTAGCCGCGGTGGGGCACCGCTGAAGACCAGTCCTGGAGCAAAAATTTGCATTTGGGTGGTGAAAATCGCATCCCAAACATTCTCAAATTCCCACTCAAAGTGTTCAGAAGACTCTACATCTTGTCAGCGTCTTCACCTAACAGGACCTACTCATACTGATGTGACTCATTACCTAGTTTATGATAATGCGTGCTGCAGAGTCTGCTGAACACTTTGAATGGTGATTTGAGAGTGTTTGGTATGCGTTTCTCACCACCCGAATGCAAATTGTTGCCTCAGGATTAGTCTTTAACGATGCCCCGCCGCGACTAACAATAGTGTAGTGGTTGAGTGTATTGACCACTTCACTTACCTGGGAAGTGGAATCAGCCCTAGTAGCCAGCTCAGTGGCCGATGAAACCTCTGCACGGATACAAAAGGCTTGGCTGGGTTTTGCCAACTTACGCTACCTATGGCGCCGCCGTGAAATCCGTTTGTCTATTAAGGGTGGTGTATACTGCACAGCAGTCTGGTCTGTTCTACTTTATGGCTGTGAAGGTGAAATACGAGAGGGCTTCAGGTGTTTACCACCGTTGCCTTCGTAGTATAGGCCGTGTGTCGTGGTATCACCACGTGAGTAACGCAGATGTCAGGTGTAGAATTTTAGGGAGTAGGGGTAAATCAGTTGACGACGTTGTAAAGCTTCATCGACTGAGATGGTTGGGACACGTCATACGTATGCCTAGTCACCGATTGCCTCATCACACAATGTTGGCCGAAGTGGGTTCAAGCTAGAAAAGCTCTTGGCTGTCGACCGGACTAAAACATGGCATCAATGTATGAAGTCTTTGACTGTTGGTTTGAGCCATGTGGGGGATGCAGACTAGCTGGTTGGGGTCCGTGGGACAAGAGAAAACAGTGGTTTGAGACTGACTTTAGGTGATATGGCTGAGAAGCGATGTCAGTGGTGTAGATGTATCCACAAATTATTCTTATCTTAACGATGCTATACCAAATCTCACCATTTTATCATTCTTCCTTTCTCTCTTCTCTTACTTTATATTTCTTTTGGCTGCATTCACTTATCTTCATCCTTCACCTCACTACCTTTTTACTTGATGTGCTGATATGAGGTGTGGCAACTCGGGCCGTTGCTTAGTAATGCCTGGTCCTATGTTGATAATGATGATGTCAAGTGGGATTTCACCAGCAACCACCCTGTTTGGGCTGATATAACTCCCCAAGTGAGTGATGTCAATTCGTTTCTGGTTAGTCTAATGTTTTACTACAAATAGAAGTGAGTGGTTTGAAGATCTCTTTTACGACCTTGTTTAGGCATCCAGACCGATTGGGGGCCGAATACTATTCATGAACGATTGATAAACCAGCTCTATCAGTCTTTGACCGTGTGTATAAAGTTCGCTATGACTAGACATTTTTTACTGAAGTTTTTTTTGCATCTCACTTAAGCAGACGGTGGTCTTTGGAGTCAAAATTTGCCGAAAACTTAGGTTCAGGAATTCGAATTGTAAGAGGCTGGTGTTATCACTAGTAGATCACCGGCTAAGCTCCTTATTATGGTTTTAAGATCGAATTACTGGAAGCCAACTTGAATGCAGTGTGACCTATGCAATTTTATATGCTGTAAATATTGGAGAATCCAATGGTTAGACGTAGTCGTCGGTAACAGCCAAACTTGGTAGATAAGGTCATAAACCTTCATTGACTAAAGTAGTCTGGACGTGTTATTCATGTCTAGTCACTGTCTACCCTGATCAAAAATATTGGCTGCAGTTGCTTTTCGTTGGAAGGCGGTCAGACTGTAGCATGGCACTAGTCCCTGAAATCCCTGACTGTGCCTGAGTGGTGTAAACAAATTCAGGCTTCCAGGTAGTGATCCACGTGCCAACTAAAGTCGGTGGTTGAAGACTGTAAGAAAAATGACCCAGCTTTGCTTGCATCAGCGGCTTTCATCTTTTCCATTATTCATATTTCGTGTGCAACATCTCCCCTTCATCCTGTGGCTGTGATTATACTTTCTCTTTCTTAATTCCCGTTGCTTGGTATAAATGTGCTGATGCGATGTGTTACGTCTAGAACTATTACTCAGTAGTGTATCATTTTGACTAACTTTACCCGAAGAGTCCAGTTATTGATGAGCCATCTCACAGTTTGCTTCTTATCTTCTCAAAAGTACTACTTTCCATAGATTTGATTTTGCTGTTAAGATTTAGTTTATCATACAAGGGATGGCTGTTAGCCAGATTTGAAGTACCACAATCTCTGAGTAGTTCCTATTAGTTCTTTGTTAGTATGTGAAATTGTATTTTTTTTAACTTGAACAGTTGTGTACTTCAAATGTGTTTGCTTCTGGTTTTTGTTTAGGTTTATGAACTTGGCGTTAAAACCACTCCTCTGAGTGTAGATCTGTGGACTGCTTATTTAGATGCTGCTATCGAGTATTACCATAGCCGTGACGACTATGAATTTAGAATGCGCAGGTAAGCATTCAGTCTTTTTGTTTTGTGGACGACTGTTGTGGTGGTCTTTAAGGTGACTGGCTCGTAATTTTTATTTGTTGCGGTAAGGTACATCTTAATGAATCTGATTGTGTTCTATTTCAGTCTGTATGAAGCTGCTTTGGATGCTGCTGGGCTTGAATTTCGCTCGGATGCTTTGTGGGAGCATTACATTAGCTGGGAAAGTGGACATAATCGATTAGTTAATGCTGCTAATATATATGCTCGGTTATTATCAATTCCTACTCAGCTTTACTTTCAAAATTGGGACAGGTTAGTTTAACCTATAAAAATATTTGTTTCATCAAGACTATTATACTTCAAATCAAAGTGGTTGTGCTGCTTCTAGAAATAGTGTTTCTGTATAACCATATCAGATTAACAGTGTTTTTCAATAGAGGTATTTAAATCTACTTTAGAAATTACCTACATTGCAGAAAATTTACGGTTGTGCCATACAAATGGTCTGGGGCTACTCACGTCAGTCAGTGTCTTAGACACTAGGTGACCGGTTCAAACATTTGCGGCTGCCTTCGTTACGAGTGCACCCGAAAGTTTCATTTCCAACAATTTCGCCGATTACTTAAATTGGGTCAGTTTCCGTGCACAGATGAATAAAAAATAGTTACAAAGCCATCTACAAGTCCTAATACTATGGCTAACTTAAGTAAAGTAGTTTGAATGGTTCATATCTTTCAACTGGATTTTTGTGCGTGGACTACTGATAAATTTTGTCATGTATCAGTGAAATCACCATTTGTTTCATCCTGACGTGTGGAGTTTTCATTGGTAACTGTGGTATTAGAATGCGTTCATTGAAAAATCGTTTAGGTTCAGGAAACGTTGCCATTAAAAGTCGATTTCGTAAACTATTTGTGAATCTTTTGTCCACCTAACAGTTGAGCATACAGTGAGTAACATTGAGTCGACTATAGTACACCGATTCATGGCTACTGCATTTGCCAGTAGCGTAACATTTCCTAATTATTACTGACTAAATTTCTTGTAAGCAACATATTTTTAGCACGTTTTTCCCTACTTTTCTCTCACTGGTTACTTATGAGTTTAGTTTTGTCTTTTTGGTTACTATAGTGAGTTGGTATTCAGCCGTATTGAATTCGTTACTTTTACCCCTTTCCGAATGTAACCCGCTTGCTCTTCGGTGTTATCTTGGTAAAAGGAAATGATAAAGGGAAGTGGGTAAACGTAAATGAACAGAAAATCAATAAACTGAGGATAAGCTTTTCGTGATATGAAGGGAAGTGAAGAATTAATTTAGCTACATCATTTTAATCGACTTTGTACAGTCATATCTAGGATTTTCAACAGCTTTTATAAAGTCTCATAAACGCCATCTAAACTCTCAACTTCTAACCAGGCATCGTGAGTTTGAAACGCACTACACCAACCGACGTTAACATCGAGGTTGGACCTCGCGTAATGACTCTAAAATTGCAGGTTGGAGACTAGGTGATACAGCTCATGACCAATACCAACAGTCATGCATCCATACATTTATAGTAAGATTACAGTCTGCATAACCGCGGTTTGACTCGAAGAGTTGATGTTAATTTTAAGCATGACTGTACAACTGCTCCTACTACATAAAACCCAACTTTATTTTTGTTATGCATGAAGCTGATGCAGCTAATTTTCTGATTGCCAGCATCATTCGAGTTGCCAGAGGTTTGGCTTGTTAACCAATTTGACGGAGGGTGCAGACATTGAAGGCTCCAATGTGTAATTTAGAGCGTGGTTTCAGGAGACCAGTGATGCCGTTCTGGACTCAGATCGTTGTCGAAAGCTGCAGACCTAAAAGGTGTCTAAAAACGATGTGGGATCGTTAACTGCAAGACGTGGAGGAAGATGAAAAGTTAAGGAGGGAAGATGTGGACAGTGGCCTGAGGAAACTGGAGTGCTGAAAGTTGTGACGGTGACTGACACTTACCGACTACTTACACCGTGGAAAGCTAGGTCTTATTGAGGTACCTGAAAAAGAAGGGTTAGTGCCTGGTCGCGGAGCCAAGGGAACATCTGCTCGAGGCCGGTCACGAACGACCTTTTTGATGCTACGAAAATTGGCTTGTATTATGAAAGGTGTGGTTGAACATCCGTCCTGTGGTTTTAGATCACCACTGGAAACAGATCTAAGCCATCATGATGCATCAGTTCATTGTTTAACAGCATGTTAAGGGTAAGTGTTTTTTGTCTAATCACTATCCAACAGACCTTTCTGGTATGGCAAGACTTCTAGGGAACAAGCGTTCCACCAGCACAACTCGTTGAGTCATCGTGATATACAAACCCGACCACCACGTCAAGGTAACAGCTGTCAGTCGGCGGCTGGCACGTAGTCCTAATAAGGATGGAGAGTGAAGCAGTAGAATGCTCTGACTACTTCGTAAAATTCAATTTCAGAACCAGGGATTAAAATAATGTGAGTGGATTTTCCTCAAAGGTTTGATATTTTTCTATTAGGCAGTTATTTCTAATTTCATTTTGTACCTTCATGGATAAAAAAAGTTGTTTAGCGTTCAAACGATGTGCGTCTCACTTCTTTTTCGTTCAGATATGTGCTAGGTTCTGAGTTGCACCTTAACTCGGTTTTACTGAGTTTGTTAAAATACTGTATTATTTTTCAGGCGTTATCGAACTTCTACCCATTTTTGAAGTTTTTTTTACTTATATCATTTCCCGTACAGCTATTTTCTTCGTTATATATCGCATTATATTAACGAAGTCATTGTAGTCTAAATAATATTACTTATCCTTTCTGTCATCAGCTTCAATAAATTAGTAGAAGAAAATCGTCCTGAAGACATACTATCCAAAAAAGAGTTTGCAAGTATGCTCGCTCAGGTTTCAGTGGCTGCTGGTAAGCCCATTTCACTTGAACAACAGTCAGAAGAAGCCAACGATGAGTTAGAACCACCTATTTTGGGCTCAACGAAACCGGCAATTGAAGTATGACTTTGATGGTTAATCTTTTATTTGCAATTTTTTTCCACCACATGTATCATTAACATATAGTGGCATGGTTAGTTGGATGCATATTTCATTGTATGTGCATAATAATTTAGTGTTAAGCCTAGTTTGACTAATTAGACTTTTCTATAATTGCTAAATGCACAGCTTTATTGCTTCTAGATAGTCGTAAAATTCTGAAAGCTCTTTTGCTACTACGTATAATCTTGAATTCGATGTGGCATTAGTCTCAGCCTAGATTCATTGTCACGTCAACTACTAGTTTAGTATCTAAAAAGTGTGGGGTTATGCTCACATTATGAAGTAGAAAAATGTGCTTAATTTCTTATACACTGTGATTCTGTTTGGGATGGTACTAAGCTCTACTAGTTTACCTTGCCAATTATCGGCCAGTAATATTCCACTTATCTTTTATTGCTTATCGACTACTATATGCTGTCTGGCTAATATATGAGTGTTAGTGTTACATGCTTTCCATGCTTGTTGAGTTCGTCGTGTTTCGTTGCCAACTTCTGTATTCATAACCACTATGTGCTAGGAGCTTTTGTGTTGAGTAGGTAGATAAATTTGGTTTCTAACAGTTCCATGTTGACTAGCCATACTTTTTATTTTAGTGTTTATATATGCCCAACTTTTGATTGACTATGTTTGAAATGTTTATTGTTGTTATGGCGAACTGAATTAGGTTTTTTCCATATAGGCGTGATGCTTAAAAGTAACTCGTAATGCAACAAGTGTGACTGGCCACTTTGTCATCGAACAGGAGAAAAGATGTAATAAGTGATTCATTTTACATATTGGTAGGTAATAAAACAAAACTTACAGCACTAGGCATTTTACGTTTCAGTTACTCATTCAGGCTGTATTCACTAGAAAGCTTGTTTCAGGAGGGTTGGTTGTGCGATGGAACCAAAGGCGACTAAGATCAGGTCCAATAGTACATATGTACTGTTAACTGCTGTGAGGTGTAGCAGCAGTAAAGCATTTCTGAAGGACACAACCTCCCCATCAATGTCCCCTTCCAAAGGGTAGTTTAATAATTGTTGGCATCGGAAATAGTACAATCCACTGCCAGTTGTAAAGTCTTAAATCTAGACGCAATGAAATGGAATCAAAACCAAATACTTCCAAAAATACCGTGTGTGACCAGCTTTGGGCAGGCACTTTTGGGGTTTAGAATTACACCACCTGTTGAGTAATACCTTCATTATTAGTTCGGTTTCATTCACATCTATATGCTAATTGATTTCCACCTCTTACAATAGGTGTCATATGTATGCATGACACTTTTTTTAATATGCCCATTTTACCTAGTTACCCATTGAAGGAAATGACCTTTCATATTTCAAAGTTTCCTCTTTGCTAGACATGGTGTGATAGGTATTTTTTCCATGTACTCGTCCCACACCCCCTCCCACTTAAAACTTCATACTTCATTTATCACTTGCAGTCGGCTGTTGTTTTGAACCTTGATCGTATTTTTGCTTACCGTGAGTAGATAGACTAAAAAAAGAAGTGCATGCAAAGTACCCATTCAGGTGTTACTGAAAATCAACAGTTACAAGGTAGTATAGTCGAGCTCTCGTTGATATACTTATGCCATACATGTATGCATTCGTAACCGATATACATCGACGTAATCTGTTAACTGAGTTTTGATTTTATTCTCTCAACAATCTACCAAGTTTGAACTTGGATATCTGTACGCAGTGTCTTTTATCCAAAATTAAGTAACTTGTGTATGAATATTCATAACAAATAAATTCATGATAAAAAGTAATATGTTGTGAACTGACAGAAGTAGATAACTATGAACCATTAGATTCTCCGACCCAGTGGCACGTTGATCACATTCAGGTTCCCTGTGGGACCTGAAAGTTGTGAGTTCGACCCCTGACGATGTCGTAGGTGCGCACTGGTGAAAAGCCTCATACTTTGGCGTACCCACTGCTTCAAGGTTTTCAATGGTTCCCCAACTGATGTCACTTCGTGATGAGTACCAAACAGAAATCTATAAATCCCCACAAAACTCAAATACTAAATTAATATCTTTCTGTTCATGCTTTAGAACAGCCACGAATTCCTTATAAATAGCATCTGGTTTGTAAATTTATCTAACTATTATCTTCTTTTTTTATACAGATAACAGATGCTATTCGATCGTCTATACGACAAATGATAATTGATTCTCGTGAACAGATTTACCGAGCAACTTATATGCAAATTATGCGTCGATGGTATTTTGAGGAAAAAGTATGCAGTTACATTTTATGCATTATCCTTTCTATGTTAATATCCTTTTGTTTATTTTAATCAAAGTTTAATGCTGGTTGTATAAGTCTATATTGCATAACTCAGCACACCTAGCATAGGGTTGATTTTCTAGCCTATAAACTACACTACAAGTGTACAAGTGATTCTGATTGCACCTATTTCTTTCCATCGTAAGTTTGAGCTGGGAATCCATTTCTTGAACGTTGAGTGTTTAAGTCAGTCAGCCGTGGAGCTGTGTCTCAATGGTTCAAGGAGATGATTATCAATTATTGGGTCACGCTTTTGAGCCCCGCCCCACACCACCTACTGAGGTTTGAGCAACCAGGTAGCGTTATTGGCCCTCACACAATAGGTGCGGTCATTGCCTACTGCATAAGCTGGCTGATTACGTTTCCTTTCTTCCTTCCTTAAGTCAGTCAACCACATTACCATTCACTTTACGTTGTAATAATATGGATTAAAATATATATCGAAAAGTACATCCTTGTATAGTAGAAACATATTTTCCCTCAAGAGTTATAAGCTCTAGAGTAAGTGGACGTTGAATGTAATTGCTATTAAGGTGCACGTGTACATTGCTTTATAATTCTTAAATTAACTGAGTCACTCATTTTTTTTATAAAGCGAATCAAGCTACAAAGGGGAAATCCAATTTATTTGTTACCCTACTTCAGTCTTAACCCTATAATCTGTTTAACTGTTCTATTTTAAGAGAGTTCTATATGGTGGCGAGTTCATTATTACGCTTAACTAATGAAAACAGCGTCGAAAGTGAAAAAGTTCTTAGTTATTTTTTGTCTCATCTCACTTATATTTCTTTTGCATTAGTTTGTTCAGGCCAACAGAATTTATCCATTATTACGGAAAAATCAATAGACACTTCGCAACTGCTTATATGTCTTATCAAAAGGATCTTTATCGTTACTTATCTACTTTTCCATTTATTCCGCCTATGCACTTAAGTTTGTTTGGATACTTTCAAGCTCGTAATCTGTTTTTTCTTCGTTTAGATTAGGCGTCCATACTTCCATGTGAAACCCCTTGAAGAAGTACAGTTGAATAACTGGGGAGAATATTTAAGTTTTGAGGAAGCAGAGGCTGCAACTGTTATATCACACATCAGGGAGCAAATAAAGCTAACAAGTCAATTGTCTGATGATAAGTTGGAGGAAGCTGTTTTTCAATGCCCAGAAGTGAAGTTAGCCAAGCGTCGTGTTCGTATTCTCTATGAACGCTGTCTTGTCGCTTGCGCTTTATATGAACACTTTTGGATACGCTATGCAAAATATTTGGAGGTATTATTTTAACTTCTGAGATTTAAACAAAAAGCCTGAATTTTAAAAATGACTTTACATTATTTTCTTGGTTCACTTTCTAATCATATGTTTTTCGCATCTTATTCTTGATAACATTTTCACTGAAGTTACACTAGCTACTTGTTTTATAAGGTATGTAATCACTCCTTCACTGTGATATTGATTTTGGTGTATAGTATATACGGTTTGAAACGAACTGCAGCACTGGCGAACCAAGGTTTGTACCTCATGTGAAACGTACGTTTCCGCATGGGCAACAATCGATATCATTCATCATAAGTAATTATCGTTTACCTCCAATGACTTAACATCAAAGGGCGTTAATACTGTGTAGTAAACCTTCTTAATGGGCAGATTTTAATGAAAACTGGACACTGAAACATTAACGTCAGTTACTTTAATGACGAATTCGTGTACAGTAAAACGTCGTATCTACACCTCAGAGGCATTTTTCGGCGGTAACTCATGCGTTTTGATATTACTGAGGGTTTTTGTAGCCTTATTGGCAGTCAGAATTCAACTAAGTATTGACTGAGAACTTACAAAACTAAGATATTGGTTGATGAGATCATGTTAGGCGTACAATTGTGCCTGACCTCCACAGTTTTCAAGTTTCAGGACAAAATATACAGACAAACAAGAGTAGCGATGGGATCGTCAATATCCTCAGTCGTAGCAGATATACTTATGGATAGTTGGAAAAACATGGCTTTACAAGCGTTTAGTCCTACACCAAAAATATAGTGGTGATATGTAGATGACACACTTACTGTGTTGAAATCAGAACGTATCGACAATTTCCTCACACATAAACTCTGTAGTGGACGCAATCCAATTCACTTATGAGGTAGAAAATGAACAAGAAAAATTGCCTGTGTTAGATTGCAGGATAAAACGAAGGACAGACGGTGGTTTGAATATTACTGTCTACAGAAAACCAACAAGTCATCTGATCCAATGTCAGTTAAGGCAGGTTTAGTCAAATGTCTAAGTGATAGAACTGAAAAACCCATAAGTTATTGCAAGGACTTCTACAAGGAATTGAAACATCTAAGAGAAGCGTTGCTAATTAATGATTATCCTCTACAGATTAGGAATAAATTAGTACAAACACATAAGAAACGAAACAATAGCAGTGATACAAACACAAATAATAGCGACAACACAAGTGGGAAGGGGTTCGAAACCTTTATTGTGCTACCATATAAGGAAGGAACATCAGAAGCTTCACCTTGGATTCTCATCAAGGTTGCAATTAGGGAGGCATTGCAACCTACAAACTCACTCAGAGATAAGCTTTGTCGGCTGGCTTAAGGATCCGATAGAACCAATTAAGCAAAATAATCTAATCTGTCAAATTCCATGCAATGATTTTGAGGTTAAATACATAGGTTAAACTAGCCGGGCGGGGTCAGTTAAAATAGCCGAACATAGGAATTTAGGTATATATAGAGTTACAAACCCAAATAAGATATATAATCTAGAAAAGGACTCGGCTACTGCAATACATGCATTAACAAGTACACAACCACACGATAGAGTAGGTGGGATAAAGCCACTGTACTCTAGTCCAATATAATTAGGTCGAGAGTGAGGGAGAGATTGATTACTGAATCTTTGTTCATCGAATCAACACGCAACACATGTAATCGAAATGACGCAACACTTCTATACCAGAGATACGAAAAATTTCACTGCCAGTAAAAACGAAGAATATGAGGTGACAGAAGTAAAAGTGAAATTGGTGTAATTACATAGATATGATTATGAGGAATAATTTATACTTGAAACGTCTCGAAGTAATAATACCATATCACTGTGTTATAAATCAAATAAACAAATCTTATATGGCATAAGATAATTCTGAATACTAAAATAGATTGCATGATTACACCTAATTGTTCATGGAAGATATTTCTTAACCTTTTGGTAAGCTTTGGGGTTAGCTAGTTTAAACTATGCTAAGAAGATGTCTTCTGTTTATCTTCAACCATTATCTGTGTGTATCAGTCAGTCAGTCTGTCAGTCTGTCTGTCTGTCTGTAAAACTCATCTCAGTTAGTCTACTAATCTTTGTTGGGAATACTATTGTGCGTTACATTAGTTTCTGTTATTTGAAATTGGTATAGTGAATGTTGGCTTCAAATTCTATTTGAATTATTCAATCAAGACAGTTGTGGTGTAATGAATCCTTAGACGGCAAACACAACTTATTTTCATGGCGAATAAATTGCGTTTCCTTTTATATTTCTTTTTAGTATACTGAAAGAGATATACCTGCTGCACGTGAAGTTTGGCGACGTGCGTGTAACACTCACTTACCATACAAACCAACTATTCATTGGCATTGGGGTTGTTTTGAAGACAGGTATCCTGCCAGTTTGGATAATCCTCCAAAGTTTGAAGTCATCACTTGTCTTGATATTCTAACAGATTTAGAAAAACGGTTAACTGACAGTGCTCTTGTTTGCTCTAGAAGAGCGGATGCTTTGCGAAGAGCAGGAAAACCGGTAACTTTCAAAGTTTTGTTCTGTGTTGATTTTTACATTTAGAAGCTCTATTTTTATGTATTCTTATTATAATTTCGTAGCATATTTTAGGCATTATTGAGTTGTGCGTTGTTTACTTCAGGTTAAAAGCCGTGTGTAGTGCACATGGCAAGGGTTTCTGTAGGAAAAACACTAGTCATGAAGTTGCTCCATACAGTAGTGATAAAATTAAATTTAAGAAAAGCTGTAATTACTATTTATTGATATAATTGTAATTCTCCGTTGTTTTATTGGATCAAATTGTTCGACCTCTATTGCATATGAGCTCCTATACGGATGCATGGATATTATTTGAATGTTAATTGCGGTAACTTGGTTGGTTGCTGCTAGCAGAGGAATCCAGGACGCGTGTTTCGCCCTATTTAGGACCCGTCAGCTGGATGTACTTGTACCCCAGTGAGTTTTGTTGTTCCCACTGAGACTCGACCTCGTACTCATCTCTTCAAACGCCAAGGCGTTATCCGCTATACCAGAGCTCGAACAATTCGATCTAATAAAACAACAGAGAACTACAAGTATATCAATAAATAGTAATAACTAATACCCGTTGTAAAAGAAGTGGCTATCGTTTCTTCGTGGCATAGTGGATAGCGCCTTGGCGTTTGAATCGATAGGCATGAGGTTCGAGTTTCAGTGGGGACAACAACACTGACTAAGGTACAGGTACTTCTAACTGGCGAGTCCCGAACAGGACGAAACGCGCGTCCTGAATTCCTCTGCTAGCCAAAACCAACCAAGTCACCGTAAAAAGCCGTAATCGTAGAAACTAACGTTTTTTTAAACGTGAAGACTTTAGAAAGTGCATTGTTCGAGAAACATCTGTGAAATGTCTGTCTTGGTTACAGTATAGAAGCATTTTTCGTGAACCATTTCGCTTTTATCAAGCATGTTCTTACCTTTGTTGCGTTCTCAAGTCGCAGATTGCACCATAGCTTATTAAGAGTCTTATATTAGTTTGTCACGGGAGAGCAATCAATTTCATGTTGTCTAGTCTTTTGGGTTGACCGGATTCTATCAGTCATTTTGCAATGTGCACATCAAGCTAGGAGGCGTAGCATCGCGGCAGACATTGGTGGGTGTTGGTTGGTTGGAGAGAATCGAAAGAAATCCTTGAACCTAGCTTTCGTGGTTGTTGGCACTCGTCAGCTAGGTATATCTGCAACCTCGAGGGAACTGATGTCTCGCCTGAAATTCGAACCTGTGTCACCTAGTGTTGTAGTCAGCAACGTTACTACCGAGCTATTGTGGCCGCGATTGACCTCTTGTAGGACTGGATTACATACACTAGTTGTTCTGCTGACCGAATTCTATCGATCATTTTGCAAGTTTGTCAAGCAAATACAATCATTTAGATTCACTTCCTAATTCCCATTGTGACATCAAAAACAAGATATTCAGCGAAGAGGACTCTTTCCAACGAATTTATTCTCAATCTGCATATATATATATATATATATATATATATATATATATATATATATATATATATATATATATAGGAAGATCTAACTTAAATAATGGTGGGTTGAAACAGTAATAATAGTGGTTATAATAGTCATGTTGCTAGTTGACGTAGAGGGTGAATGGTAACAAAAAAGGTTACGTAAGATTTTAAGTCATTTATAAGGTAGGTACATAAAGATTAAGAAGGGGTTGAAAACACGACAGAGTTCACAAACAATCAAAGGTGATTATCATAGTATTATTATTTGTCCCTTGGGGTCCTAGTGGAACAAAGGGCTTCAGTAGCACGTCTGCATTTCATTCTCTTCTCTGCAATCTCAACCTGGCTCCACAACTGTCCACAAGCTTTCATTTCTTCCTCACACGATCTCCTTCATGTCACCCTCAGCTGGGACGCCTAACTTGTCGTTTCCCACCGGAGGGCGTGGCCTGGCGCGTGATGTCTCCGAATGGTCTTCTCAGTGTATGCCCAATCTATCTCCACTTCCTTCTGCATATTTGTTGGGCGATAGGTTGTTGGTTGGTTCGTTGCCAGCCAGAGTGAGTTCCTTGTTGCTTATTCTTTCTGGCCATCTGATCTTCAGTATTCAGCGTAGGCAGCTGTTGATGAATGTCTATAGTTTGTTGGAAATGCTTTTCGTAACGCATTGCCAAGTCTCTGAACCATATAGAAGCACTGACTTGAGTGAATTAGTGTTGAAAATCTGGATCTTGTTCACGCTTTATGCTGAGTGGAGTGTAGTGCAGTAGATCTGCTCGCTGATTTCAGATTAATGAAGGAAGGCTTGTCTTGGTGTCTTTTCGATCTTGGCTTTGACATCGTCATCGGTGCCGTCTGTAGTTGAAACGATGGTGTGTCGGTGGTAGGTGAAAGAGAGTACTTCCTTTAGATTTCTCCTACTGACGGTGTTTGTTGTTGTTGTTGCTGCTGCCGGTTGGATATCTTCATCATTTGTCTTCTCTACCTCCACTTGAAGTCCCGTCTTCGCTGTCTCATCTCTTTTTTAGTTTTGCCTGTAGATCTTCGAGTTTGTTCGACACTAGACACACATAAATCATCATCGGCGAAATCCAAATCTTCTTGTGGGGTCTTTTCGTCGGTCCAGCCAGCGTAGGCCCATCTTCTTGCTCCTCACAGTTTCTTGCATGATCCAGTCGACCGCATTCAGGAAGATGGTCGGTGATAGTAGGTGGTAACCTTGTCTTACTCCTGTTTTCACTTCAATGACATTGCTGAGCTTTTCATTGTGAGTCACCTGGCATGTAGCGTTGTCATAAAGCATGTAGCTGTTGAATGAGGTTGATAAGTGTTTGTGGCACTAAAATCGTAGTGTTAAAGCAGCTGCCTGCCAAATTACTTCTCGGTCGACGCTGTCGGAGACCTTTTCAAAATTGACGAAGTTGAGGTAGGCAGTTGACTACCATTCTACGCTTTGTTCTATGATGATGCGTAGCGTAGCGTTGAAATTTGATCCGCACGTAATTTGTTCTTCCCAAAGCCAGCAGCCTGTTCCAGTGGTAATTTTGTATCCAGAGCATTTCTTAGTCTCTCCAGGATGATGGGGCATAGTATTTGCTTGTTGTGGGCGGAACCATAATTCCAAACCAGTTCTTTGGGGGTTTGACAAGGTAGCCCTTCTTCCAGTTGATCGCCATCTACCTTTCCTTCCTTCCTTGCAAACCTTCTGCATTAGTGTTTTGACCTTGTTCGCTGCTGATTTCTCTGTATCTTTTTTCAGCACTTCTGGGGGAATTCCATCTGGTCCTGCTGCTTTCCCGGATTTCCGTAATTCTATAGCGTTCAAGATTTCACTTGTGCTTTTATCGGAGGGTTTGTGTTCGCTGGTAATTTTTGGCTAGGCTGAAGGTGGTATTTGTGGACGAGTTGCAGGTAGTGGTAGTGGTAGTGTTCGATTCAAGAGTTTTTGACGTGGTCAGCCCATTGTTTCCTTTGTCTCTCCTCACTGGTAACTAGCTTTCCTTCACTATCTCTCATTGGTTTCATCTGTGTTGATCTCTTCCCAGATAGTATTTTGGTTATTTGATATACTGTTCTCATGTCTTTCCTACCTGCAGCCTTTTCTGCTTCACCTGCCAGTGTGTCGTAAAAGTGTTTTTTGTCTTTCCGCACACTCTTCTTCACTTCTTTGTCCAGCGTAGTGTTTTATACGTTGTGCCCAGTTCCTCTTTTCGTTGTTCATTCCTGCACTGCACTGGTTCATCTTCTGCTTCTCCATCTTCCTCCCCTGCTCTATCACCTTCCATGTGTCCTTGGAGATGCATTCCTTGTCTTGTTTCTTCTCTCTTCCCAACACGGTAATTCAGGTTTCCTGCCACGTCGCATTCAAAGAGTTTCAGTGTTGTTCCACGCCTGACCCTTCAGGATGTTGCTCAATGTCTCCCATTTTGTCTTGATGGCTGACTGACATGAAGATGTCCTTTGTAGTTTCGTCCTTCAGTTTCTGTTCTGGTGTTCAACTTGAACTGTGGTCTATCACCAACTTCCTTGAAGGCTTTTAACTTGATTTTGAAGGTTCCTTGCACTGGATAGTAGGTGGTCTGAAACTACATCTGCTCCTCTTCTTGACCTTGTGTCAAGTAGGCTGACTGCATCTCCACTTTCTTCACATTGAGATAAAGTCGATGTGATTTTTGGTGTGTTCTGTTCCGGTGTCTGGTGAAATCGAATCCATGTGGCTCGTTTTATGGATATCCTTGTGCTTGAACACACTGCTTGACCTCCAATCACCAAATCGTTGAATGCACAGAATTCTGCAAACAATTCTTCATTCTCGTTCATCACCTCACCGAGTGCTTCTCGACCCATGATGAGCTCTCTTCCTATGTTGTTCCCTCCCGGTTTCGCATTGATGTCGCCCCACCCATTAGAATTTTGATGTCGCCGTCTAAGGTGCCTTCTTGCCTGTAGAATTACTTCTCTTGCTGTGTGTTATTTGTAGATGCATAGCGTATCATTGTATGATTGTGACTTTCCTTCCTTTTGAGTTGAATCTTGCTGTCATGATCCTGGGGGAGGAGATTGGTTCCCACTGCATGAGAGAGAGAGCCTTTGATGCTGTTGGGGACATCATGATAGCCACTCCAACACTCAGTGTGCTCGTGGGTATCGTGTCGTGTGGGTAACATAATCGGAGTTGATTATTGACTCTCTTGCTGACGGTTTGTAGAGTCCACTCCCATCGATTCAGCTTTCTCAGATTCCTAACTGGCACTTCTATGCCATATGTTTTTCTCTCTTTTGCAGTCTGGGCAGCCTTGGCAGCTAGGTTCAAACATGGTGCAGACATTCCACTTCCCCATCCTTACTTTTGCTTTCATTGAGAATGAGAAGACACACCGGCCAATTGGCTTCCTGAAGTCTTTCACCAACCGGCGTCATTCCGTCTCCTCGATTCCAGCGAGGAATAAGCTTATTGATATTTTCTTTGTGCTTTGAAGTTTGTTTAGCGATTGTATTGGTTATATAGTGTAGGATTGCTAGCCGCATGCCTAACCTTCTCTCTTTATCCGGGCTTAGGACCGGCTAGTAACTAGTGAACTACTTAAGTAGGCGAGGTTATCAAAGGTGACTAGGTTATATAAATATGACAGCTGGTTTAATTGGAATAAATTGAAAATATTTTGTTAAAAGTTGCGATTATTAGGAAGATCAAATGAAATAACACCGGAAACAATTACATTTAAAAATAAAGTGATAATGACGATGTAAGAGTACAAAGAATTTTTTGACAAAACAATGAAGGTCAAAGTAGAGACAAAGACTGTATATATATATACTTCTTTTGCACAAAAAAGTTAGGCTTCACTTCATTGATAGCAAAGGCCTCTGCTATTTTTAGAAGCTGAACACGGAGGTTATGTGAGGTGTTTGAGCGAATTCGATAGACAACCTTAAAATCATTTTTTGAGTCTGTTGACTGGTTGGAATCGATTAAATGTTCAAAGATAGAACTCATAATACATCTCCCTTCACCATCATAAAACCAGACAGGAATATGTTCTTGTATTCGTGTTGATAGCAATCTCTGACTATAGCCGATATATTTTGCTCCAAAGGAGCCTGTGAACTGGTAGATACACATGAATGTGGCCTGTCTAGGGATATTGTCTTTTATACAAACGGAGAACAATTTACGACTGATAAAGATCAAGTGAAGTTTGGCTGAGAAAAAAGTCCTACTAATTGGTCTGGAAAGACGATTTCTCAGGATATCTGATACTGGATCATCTTTGAGAATAAATTCGTTGAAAAGAGTCTTCTTCACTGGTTTAATCGAGTGATTAAAGAGCATTGGGTAGTGAGTGATAAAGTGTCGAACGCAATTTGGATTATGTTCAGATGTAAACCAATTTCCTTAGGGTTACTATTTTTTGGTTCTATGCTTGCTAACTTCTAATCACACCTCGAATTAATAATTACGCTGAAATTCACGTTAGTAATGGAACAGTTTTCTAGAAGTGAGTACACTGTTTAACATGTGCGCTTTTTTAAACTTTTTTTATTGCAGTTCAAGTTGCATTTTACTAACGATACCTCTATGTTTTCAGCTTTTCGATGTCATCGCTTGTCTTCGTAATGGTATCAACCGTCTGCGATACCTAGTTCAAGAACAAAATAAAGTTGCACAGTGTGTTTCTGGGGCTACTGCTTCTCGTACTGTAGCACAGGCCATAGCTACAGCAGCACAAGCACGTGCTGGAGCTGGTGTTCTCTCAGGTCGTCTTGCTCGGTTATTTCATCGCAATGAATCATTATGCTCTGAAGGAATACCCGTATGGATGTTGTTGCTCGGTACAAAGTATGAGGAGGATGAAGATGAATCAATACTTATGGACGTACCTAAAATTGAAGAAACCAATAATAATGAGAAACAAGAAGAACCAGACAGCGCCGCTAACCATACAGAAAAGGTAGTTGAAGCCGATAAGTCTCCAGAAGCTGCTAAAATGGACGAAGAGGATGGTTTAGAGGAAACAAAAGAAGCTGAAACTGCAGCTAGTGATCATGAAAGTGATTCTGATATTGAAGCTGCATCATCTGATAATGATGTGACAATGGATGAAGAATCTGATGAAGAGATTTCGCAGAAGCCAGTTAAAGACACACCGACATCCGATAAAGATAACCATATAAATGAAGATGCGTTTGATGATTCTGGTTCTCCTCCGATTCTTATTGTCTCTTGTTCACAAAAGAAAAAGAAGCATCATAAGCATAAACACAGACAAAGCAAAAAGTCAAGGCGAAAACACAGCTCTAGTAAAAGAGCAAAATTAGAGGATAAGGGCTCTGGGGATGAAAATAGAATGAGAGAAGGTGAAGAAAATGCTGAAAATGGATCGGGTGATGAGTCCAAAACAGCTCCTGAAGTCGATCAAACAGCTGAAGAGGAAGAACGTATACGTAAACTTCTCAACAAGCGACATAAAGTAATTGAGATTCGTGCTCCTTCTCCATCAGAACTTACAGATGAAGATCTTGTGATTATCTCGGGTGAAGAAGCCGCCATCAGGGTTCTTAAGGAGGCCATTGATTATGATCCAGTAAGTGTTTTTAAAAAAATTAGTTATGATAGGCATTTATTGTTTGAATAGGTTTTACGTTTACACCACAGTCTTTTAGATTTTTAGTGAAGGGTTGAATTACAATCGTATGGCAAATCTAACATATAATTTCCTGGGACAGCTCATCATATAAGACACACGAAGGCGAGTTCTGTCTCGAAAGCCTAAATAAGACAATTTAACTGAAATCTGTTCTACTCTTTATTGGTACATATTCAATTCCCAACAGTTATGTCATCGGTTTCAAGCCTGATCATCTACTTTTAAAAATGTAAACAACCTTGTGCACATACAGTAGGCAGTGAGTCACACTTGTATGAAGCCAATGATACTACCTAGTTGCTCAAACCTCGGTAGGTGGAGCGAGATTCAAACACGTAACCTAATGGTTAATAGTCATGTTTTCTTGTTACTTGGCATTTTATTTGGTGATTATTTTGTTCGTGAATTATTAAATTTCTAGTCTGCAGAAAGAGTAATTTCATGCTGTATCTATCATTCTCCTTTACACACTGACAGACCAGCGTCAATATACTAAACACGCACATACATGCATCAGTTGACGTTTTTTACACTCCTCGACAGCGCGGATAAATCACAAAAAGTAAGAATGATGATGAAATGCATAAGAGAAAATAGTATATGAGTATTTATAGAGCCTTTCATGCTTAATTGTTGTATATCATGATATTTAGCTTGTCTCCTAAATTCAAGATGTTCATTTTGATTTGCTATTTCAATAATCACAAAAATATTTATTATGTATTTTCTTTGAAAATAGCGTAATGAGCGATTGTACGCGCAATTACTTGATATTATATATCAACGTAGACCGGCTGACATTGATGGTTTTATTGAAGCTGCTAACCTTGCCACAATTGATTCAGTTTTACCAGCTCATATTAAATTGGCTTTTTGTCAACGCAAATTACAGTTTTTGGAAGAATTCGATACAGATTTATCTAGGTTGGTTTTATTTAAGTTGACAGCTTTCTGTTTTATTTATTAACTAGTGATGGTTTTGTATGTAGGAGTGAAACTTGGACACTGTATTAGAGTATAATTCCATATTAGGTTATTTACTTAATATGGGATAGATTGATGCAGTATTATTTACTGAATGACGTTTCGAGCAAAATTTATTCCTAATAAAATCTCATCATGGATACAGAAGGCCCGTTTAGTGTTTGCCAACTTACGTCACCTATGGTGCCAGGTGACGGAGTATCCGACTACCTATTAAAGGACTAGTATAGTGCGCTGCATCTCGTTCTGTCCTCCTATACGGCTGAGAAATGAAGCAGTTACAGGGTTTTGATCATAGGGTTCTTCGTTCCATTGCTTGCGTTTGATGGATTCATTTTGTGAGCAGTGTTGAGATCAAGCAAAGTGTATCGGGCAAGACAAGTGAGCTGACTGACGAAGTTGTGTACCTTAGTCGATTAAAATAGCTTTGTCTTCGACTGCGTATTTTGAGCCATCGCCTACCTCCACATACCATGGTAGGGGAAGTTGGATCAGGTTGCAAGAGGAAGGGTTCAGGGTGGCCAGATCAAGACCTGGTACCAGTCGATGAAGTATCTGACTATTAGTCTGAGGCATGTGAGATGTAGGCTCCCTGACTGAATTTTCAGAGATGATAGGAATCAGTGGTTGAGAACTCTTGATAATGTGGGTGAAAATCGGTGATTGGCGCAGATGTATTCACTCCTTGATATTATCTGAAGCTGGAATATTTGCACTAACCTTTATCTTCAAATTGGTTATTCTTTCACTCATTCAACTGTTGTATGATGTCACTTATTCTATCCACTTCCTCTTTATGAAGTGTACTAACTTATACCGATGCAATTGTGTACGAGGTTCTATCACTTTTATGTGAATATATGCAATCGATTCTACTGGAAACGACATCCAGTAAGTAATACTGCATCACTGTGGGACAATTCTGTATCACATTAATGATTAGATTTATGTAGATTGCTCAGCGTTTATGATTTATTCAGATTTATAATTATTGATAATCACTTGTCATGTTGATGGTGAAACGCTATCGGAAAAAATTAACTGAATCGACATCTCGAAGTTTTAGTTTAGTTGTAATGTTGTAATGTCAACAAAGGTTATGAAATTATGAGATGTTATTGCATGGTACTAGTGTAAGCTTACGACTACCACTAACTATTAGAAAACGAGTTGATACTCTGCTTCACCACCTACTCCAACCTACCTACATAATCAGATAGGATTTGATGCATAGACCCATTCAGTGTTGCTTATAGACTAGTTCTGAAATGTTTACGAGACTTATATATAACAGGTACAACAGTCAGCTACCAAATCCTAAAGTGTACGTATGAATGATGTAAAAAGGCAAGGCAAAAAAATTGATATGAATTCCCTGCTTCTGTTTTATCAAGTCTTTGATTTACTTTGCCATTTTCTTTTCCACTTCGTTTTTCGTTTCTCATTTATTCTATAAGTTGGCAGCCTTTGAGGTTGTTAAACTAGGAATATGTGTAGAGATCATAGACATTCCACATATATGCTGTTAGAGTCCTTTCATATTGTAAGCAGTTTCGACGTGTTGTTATTACGTGCTTTTATATATATATTCTTATTTTCAGACTAAATGCTACATATGAGGAATATATAGGGCTCTGTGAAGCTATCAATACCGGTGTTACTACATCAGTAATCGCACGTGGAGGTAGTCGGCTTATGCCTGGTTACCAATTACCAGATCTTCTAAATTTACCAACAACCTCTCTCAGAGTAAGTGCAGTGATTGGAGCCAACCCATGTGAAATGCTGGTATCTGCCGCACCGGTTAGCCGCACACCTTGTCTGAATACCGATCAGTCTGCACTGGAAGCTGCCGCCTCAGTCGGCACACCAGCACCTGACCCATCTACAGCTGCTGGTTACTACACAGCTGGAGCGTATGAGCCACTTGCTGCTGCTCTTGGAAATACGTCTGGACTCCCACCTGCTGTTCCAACAGGTATACCTGGTATGACACCGTCAGTTGGAATTCTTCCCGGAGTAGTAAGTTATCAGTATTTAAAGTTGAAATGAATCTTGTTGGGGAAAAAATTGGTGTTGTTATCAATTTTTGTTACATTTTCTATATTTTATGGTTTTTTCTACCAATAACTAGGTTTGTATAATTTCTCTGACAGTAATTATTTGCAACACGCAAAATGGTATTTCACGATTCGGTTTCTCGGTATTTTGCTGTATTTGATATCCTGTTGTGTGGTTTTGTTTTTGCGGGGATAACAGAATACATATTGTTTTGTCCTTTTTAGTCGGATACATCAACTTCGGGTGCAACTGCTTTGACAGCTGATCCATACGCTACCTACTACTACACTGCAGCAAGTGCTGCTACTCCATCTATTCTTACACCAGTCGTTGTTCCGACGGTGGTTGATATGAAATTGTCTGCATCATTAGCAGTAACCTCTTCAACAGTTGCTCCGGTCACCACAGCTCTCTCTTCATCAGTCCCAGTCGTACAGTAGTTGTGGGGTGTTATAAGAAGCATTTTGTTATATCCAGTATTTAATGCTGTGCATTTTGGCTTCATTATATGTTTTCACTCACTTTTTGAGTTCTTACTTCCAAAACTACTATCATCGGTGGTGGTAGTTGTAAATCGTTACGTTAGTGCGTTAGTTTCCCTGTTAATTCTACAGATGCGTTTATTGTTTGTTGGCCTTAGTTACAATGAAGGCGGTGCTAAAACTGTTTTGCACATTTTGACGAGAAACTATAGTGAACTAATAAGTGATATTGTTAGATACGAAAATATCTTTCACTTCCTGGGAGTTGTTAGGTGTATGAAGAACGGGATTGATTTTTGACCATATTGCATTGACAAGTCGATGGAATTTTGGAGCAGGAAATCTAAACTAGTCACGTAAATTTTCTGCGATTTTCTGTCCAAATTGATGTATTTCGGTTTAGGGAACATGGGTTCATTCAGCTCATACAGAGTGCCATGAATGCAATTAGTTATTGCTGTAGGGTAAATCATTTGCATTGAGATGGGAGTCTGACCGAGAAGTCGAAACGCACTTGACAACCACGCGTGTGGTGTACGATGTGCCACATCTGTTGTGTGCGGGGGAATATTGCCTGGCTGTCCAGGCCTCGGTAGAGGGAGTAATGTTCGGATCTGTGACCCATTGGTTGAAAGTCAATTACTTAAGCCAATGAGCTAGAAGACAGCGATGCATTGTAACACGCTTTTATGGATACCTTACCCCATTATACTCTAAGAAGACTGACCCTAATTCGTTCTCTGCATTCATTTCTTGTGGCTTGTGTGGAGAATAAATTGTATTGAAACGAATCTTTGTGACAACTGTATGCTCGAGTTTTTCTTTGTTCATACGCGTTCTCTTATCTACTAATAATATTTGAACAGCTTTAACAGTGGATTCAAAGGGCACCATATCAACGAAGCTAAGTGTAGCAACTGGGTCGTTTCATGTTTGCAATGACAGGGAAAATAATATTTTTGTGAGTTTATTACATTATGGTGGCATACATCTTTAGTCATTTTCTCCTTGGAGTAACATTTCCAGTAAAGTCACTCTATAATTATGGATTTCTCTACGGTTTCCTGCTAACCCGAATTCTGTATTTGATTGCGTTAAGGCAATACATAAGTTGTTTCAGCTATGACAGTCAAAGGTACGCTAATAGCGAGAACATTCATGAATATGTTGGTAATGTATTAAGTTTTGTGTGAGGTCGACACTGTCAATACTGATCAGAGAAGGATGAATCTTAGTGTAAAACGCACGAAGTAAAAGCCTTCATAAAGTGAACACCTTATTATTATTATTATTATTATTATTATTATTATTAGTCCCTTGGGTTCCTAGTGGAACATAGGGCTTCAGTAGCACGCCTCCAGTGACCTCTGTTCTCTGAGATCTTTTGAACTTGGTTCCACGACAGCCCACAACCTCTCATTTCCTCCTCGCACGACCTCCTCCATGTTACCCTTGGACGTCCAACTCGTCGCTTCCCATCTGGGTTCCACTCGAGCAACTGGCCTGGCGCGTGATGTCCTCAGTCGGCCTTCTCAGTGCATGCCCAATCCATCTCCACTTCCTCCTGCATATTTGTTGCGTGATAGGTTCTTGGTTGGTTCGTTCCCAGAGTTCCTTGTTGCTTATTCTTTCTGGCCATCTGATCTTCAGTAGCGAGCCAGTGTAAGCAGTTGTTGATGAATGTCTGAAGTTTATTGGAAATGCCTTTCGTGACGCGCCAAGTCTCTGAACCATACAGAAGCACTGACTTGACGTTGGTGTTGAAAATCCGTATCTTGTTCCACATGCTGAGTGCAGAAGATCTCCACACTGGTTTCAGGCTAATGAACGCCTGTCTTGCCTTTCCGATTCTGACTTTGACGTCTTCGTCCGTCCCGCCTGTAGTTGAAACAGTGCTTCCTAGATAAGTGAAGGAGGTTACTTCCTTTAAGTTTCTCCCGTTGACGGTGACTGGAGTTTGTTGTTGTTGTTGATGGTGGTGGTGCGGTATCTTCATCACTTCTGTCTTCTCTATATTCACTTGAAGTCCCGTCTTCGCTGCCTCTTCTATCAACTTGTTAGTTTTTGCCTGCAGATCTTCAAGTTTATGTGACATTAGGCACAAGTCATCGGCGAAATCCAAGTCTTCTAGGTTCTTTTCCGCCGTCCAGTGTATCCCCCTCTTCTCGCTGCCTACTGTTTGCTGCATGATCCAGTCCACCACAATCAGGAATATCATGGGTGATAGTAGGCAACCTTGTTTCACTCCTGTCTTCACTTCAAAAGTATCACTGAGCTTCCCATTGTGAATTACTTGGCATGTGGCATCTTCATATAGTTGTTGAATGAGGCGGATAAAGGTTTGCGGCACTCCGTAGTATTGAAGCAGTTTCCAAATTACTTCTCGGTCGACGCTGTCAAAGGCCTTCTCAAAGTCGATGAAGTTGAGGTAGAGAGCTGATTGCCATTCTATGCTCTGTTCTATGATGATGCGAAGGGTTGCAATTTGGTCTGCACATGATTTGTACTTCCTGAAGCCTGCCTGTTCCGGTCGTAGTTTTGAATCCAGTGCATCTTTAAGCCTCTCCAAGATGATGCGGCTTAATATTTTACTTGGGGTGGACAGGAGAGTGATTCCGCGCCAGTTCTTGCAAGCACTGAGGTCTCCTTTCTTCGGCAGTTTGACAAGGTAACCCTTCTTCCAATCAGTTGTCAGGTACCTTCTCTTCCTTCCACACCTTCTGCAATAGTGGTGTGAGCATGTCCGCTGTTGTCTCTGCATCTGTTCTCAGTGCTTCTGGCGGGATCCCATCTGGTCCTGCTGCTTTCCCACATTTCAGTAGCTTTATGGCGTTCAGGACTTCCATTTTCGTTGGGGGATTTATGTTCACTTGTAATTCAGCGGCTGCAGGTGGTATTTCTGGACGAAGTGCAGGTGGTGGTGGTGGTCGATTCAAGAGCTTCTTGAAGTGGTCGGCCCATTGTTTCCTCTGTTTCTCTTCTTTCGTAATTAAATTTCCTTCTTCATCTTTTATTGGTTTCATCTGTGTTGGTCTCTTCCCTGATAGCAACCTGGTTATTTGATACAATGTCGTCAGGTCTCTCTTACCTGCAGCCTGTTCTGCTTCACTTGCCAGTGTTTCGTAGAAGTGTCTTTTGTCTTTGCGTGCACTCTTCTTTACTTCTTTGTCCAGTGTTTTATACATTGTGCTCAGTTCCTCTTGTCGTTGAGCATCCTTGCACTGGTTTATCTTCTGCTTCACCATCCTCCTCTCCTCTATCAGCTTCCAGGTATCCGTCGAGATCCATTCCTTGTCTTCTTTCTTCTTCCTTCCTAATACTGTTGTGCAGGTTTCTTTCCACATAGCTTTCAAAGACTTCCAGTGTTCTTCCACACAGGTTTCTTCAGGGATGTTCCTCGATATCTCCCATTTTGTCTTGATGGCTGCCTTGAAGATCTCCTTTGTAGTTTCATCCTTCAGTTTCCGAGTGTTGTACTTGAATTGAGGTCTATCACCAGCTTCCTTGAAGGCTTTTAACTTGATTTGGAAGGTTCCTTGCACTAGAGTGAGTGGTGTGAACCTACATCTGCTCCTCTTCTTGACCTTGTGTTAAGTAGACTGCGTCTCCATTTTCTTGAGATTGAGATAAAGTCGATTTGATTTTTAGTGTGTCCTGGTGTCTGGTGAAATCCATGTCGCTTTGTGGATATCTTTGTGCCTGAACACACTGCCTCCAATCACCAAATCGTTGAATGCACAGAATTCTGCAAACAATTCTCCATTCTCATTCATTTCACCTAGCGCCTCTCGACCCATGGTTAGTTCTCTTCCTGTGTTGTCCCCTCCCAGTTTGGCATTCATGTCGCCCATTAAAATTTTGATATCGCCAACTGACGTCTTGTCCAGTGTTGATTGAAGTTGTCTGTAGAATTCCTCCTTTTTCTCTTGCTCTGCATTATTTGTAGGTGCATAACATTGTATGATTGTGACCTTTCTTCCTTTTGAGTTGAATCTTGCTGTCATGATCCTGGAGGAGATTGGTTCCCACTGCATGAGAGCCTTCGATGCTCTTGAGGACATCATGATAGCCACTCCCTCAGTGTGCTCGTGGTTGTCGTCTGGGTGACCGGAGTAGATTATTGATTCTCCAGTTGACAGTTTGGAGAGTCCACTTCCATTCCATCTGCTTTCGCAAATCCCAAGCACTTCGATGTGATACCTTCTCATCTCCTTTGCAATCTGGGCTGCCTTACTGGGTTCAAACATCGTACGGACATTCCATGTCCCCACGTTTACTTTCGCTTTCATCGAGAGAAGACACATCGGCCAATTGGCTTCCCGAAGGCTTTCACCAAATGGCGTCATTTCGCCTCTCCGATTCCAGCGGGGAATAAGTTTGTTTTCATTTTTTATATTTTGTTTGTGCTTTGAAGTTTGTTTAGCGGTTAGATTTGTTTTACGGGGTAGGGTTGCTAGCCCTATGCCCAACCTTCCCTCTTTATCTGGGCTTAGGACCGGCTAGTAACTAGTAAACTAGTTAACCAGGCGAGGTTAAAGTGAACACCTTAGGAGTTCAAAACTTATGGTAGTTTAAAAACCGAAAAAAAACATGCAGAAGAAGCTAATAGCCTGTGTAACCTCTGACATATAGTTCTGACAAGTCTTTTGGCCGATAGCTGCTACCTTGACGTGATTGTTGGGATTACATATCATAATGACCCTACGAGCTATGCTGGTGAGACGCTTGTTCCATAGAGGTCCTATCATCCGGAAAAAACCTGCCTAATAGCGATCAAGGAAAAAGCAGTTGCCGTTGTGAGGTAAGTTACAACGCCTATGATGGCGAGATGAGGCATGAGAGCAGCAAGATGTTTCCCACGGATCACCGGCATTACCACGCTGACATCTCTACGGAAAAGGAGATTAGAAATGGTTGACCCCCATAATAACACACTCCTCCATGCTCAGCTGTATGGTTTTTTTATCTGGCGTTAAAACAATCCAGTCTCAAACCATCAATTTCCAAACGGTCATGTATGACAAGATGTCTCATGAAA